GTTTACCTGAAACGGCACCAGTGCATAACTAATGGTGAGGAAGGAACATCCAGTCAAAATCAAAATAAAGGAGGGGGGTGGCTTGGTAGGGTAGTGGTTAGCAACAGTGCCTCACACTCCCAGGACCAGGGTTCAAGCCTCCACCCATGCACAGCCACCACCCCAACAACATGTGGAGGCCAAGAAAGATGACCACCCCCCCCCAAGATATACAGTTAAGAAAAAACCAACTGCCACACTTAGGGCCCCCACCTTATTATTAAACAAGTGTGAGAGCAGCAAGACTTATAATAATAATACACAACCCTTAACCCCACCTATTCTTATAAACCAACAGACTGGCCAAGGCTAGACTTGAACCCATGACCTTCTGATCACAAGCACCAACACTTAGCCTACTAAGCCACACAAGCCAGTACAAATACTGAACAACTCAGTCTTCTAGTTTACCTGAAATGGCACCAGTGCATAACTAATGGTGAGGAAGGAACATCCAGGCGAAACCAAATAAAGGACAGGCAGGCTTTGAACCCATGACCTTCTGATCACAAACACAGACACTTAGCCCACTAAGCTGCACAAGCCAGTACAGACACACAACTCGGTTTCCTACTTTAGCTGAAACAGCACAGGTACATAACTAATGGTGAGGAGGAATAGGGTACAGTGCACAACTTTTAGGGTACAGTGCACAACTAAGCCATGCTACATTTTCACACATTCATTGGAATGCTGACATTATCTCCTCATTCACAGTTTGGAGGTCACAGCTACAGCTTGAACCAGCAACCTTCAGATCACAGTCACAGGGGCTTAGCCTACAGAGCCACTCTCTGCCCCTACTGGACACTGCTCAGAATTTAACTTTGACTCTGGTGTGGATACGGGCCACAATTGGAAACATTCAATGTAAATCTGGCCCATATGTGGCCCTTATTGGTTTAGAATGCAGAAAGCGGATTCAGACCAGTATTGGTCCGTTGTGCAAAAAGACACTGGGCTAGATCCAGTTTTCGGATCTGCGGCGATTTCTGAACATCATTCAGCCCAGATCCGGTTCAGATCTCGCTATTTGAGGCCATCAGCTTAGCACATCAGCTGCACGTCTGGTAAGTGACTGATCATACGTATACGGTCAGGCAAATGCGCGCCGGATCAGCAGAGTGTATACAGACCAGCTGTAATCATATAGAACTCTGGACAGATTCTGGGGCAGACTCTCCTGCCCCAATGTCACTGGCATCCAGATTTAAGGAGTTGCAGGTGTATCTGGCCCACAATCAGTTGCTATGTGGGATTCCCTTCTGACAGTTGCTTGTCTTTTGTCCAGTAATTACACTATTTATCATGTAATTGCACTAGATGTTTGCTGTTGCTGCTCTTTACACCTAAATTTCCATCCGTCCATCCATCCATCCAAGAAAAATCCCCTAATATCCTATTTTAAGACTTCTTTGTTGTTTGTTTATCACTAAAGGATGAATTTAACTTCACTTGGATGTTAGTCGGTTGTCTGTGTTGATTCACAAGGGGAATTTTTAAACATCTGTACACATCAGGCTGCTTGAATACAACAAACTCAAGAACTCATTTCCTTAGCATGTGCCATTTACGCTAGGTCCCTAACCCCCGCACCCCCATCTCTGCTCACATTTTATGACGTTCTAATGGGGAATCTGCAGCAGCATCTTCTCCTGACCTTGTAGGACCCATGGTGCATGTAACACACTTTCCTTTGTATATGTTGGACATTATCTGCCGGTAAAATTAACTTTTTTTCTGAAAGAGGGAGACAACAAAGTCAAAGTTGCCCTTTACAGTTTAATGTCACAAGGGTCAAACGGAACGTCCAAGAACCTAATGCAATGTTTCTACAATGCTTTCACCCCGGTATTCAACCAGGTGATGTCACGCCATTGGGGCTTAAATTAATTTGCATAATATGCATATTGAACAATATGACCTGTGACATCTCTTAGTATCTGACATCCAAAGGGCGTCTTTGATCTTCCCGGCCTGTGAACGTGTCCACTGCCGACCTGTGGCGACATCTTTCCATTTTTTTCTTTTTTTAAATGATAGTGATTGAAAATTACCACCTAGGAGGATACCATCTGCGCTGTCCTTTCACAGCTTATTAACTTGCTTTTTTAAAAGTTTAGCGGCGACGGAGAAGCTGCACGCGGATAGGCGCGCCCCCCCCGAGCTTTTCCAAGATCCGCCGAGTAACAAGCTGTTTGCGGTGGAGATGGATAGACGCTTAGATAGATGGATGTAACCAACCGTAAGTCGCTCAGAACAGAATATTGCGTTTTACTTTCCAATGCGGCGCTATACTATAATATACGAGACGAGTGGCGACTCAAAGAGACACTCCGCTCCATCACACAAACACGCGACGATGATTTGTAAACATCAATCCACCGGTACCAGTAAGAAACCAAAGCGATCGTAGTAAACACACTTGAACATGCATCTGCACCCCTCCCACAGAGCAGGACTCGAACCCACAACCCCGGTGGTGCCCGGCCACCACGTTCCATCACTTAGCCGCCACGCGCTGCCCCAGATGGCCTCATATTTAATTCATGCGTGCGTTTAAAAATGATTTGGCGTACTGTACAGAGCGGCGTGCATTAATATCAGCAGTCAGGCGAACAGCCCCCGGAAAGCCGCAACCTTCAGCATCCCCGATGTTATTAGCCATAATGTTGCGGTTAATTGCTAGCCAGTCATGTGATGCATAGCTACCAAATAACATATAGCCTATTTACCCAGCGAGCGTTAGCCATGCAAACTAAGTGTGAGAACTAAGATACGGGATTTTATAATCTATTTTTTTGGACGCATGAGACCCTTCTGAAATATTTCCTTTTTTCTTTCGATGTGTGCAAATGATAGAAGGTCATTCCTGAGAAGGACGCGTGGGCAGCCCGGCCGACAAAATAGGGGCTCGGCTTTACGGGGCTGCACCGCCGCCACGCACGGGCATCCCAGTCCGAGA